GAGGGGCAGTGAGCACCCCCCAGGAGCTGCCTGGAGCCGGGAGAGCGGGTAAAGGATGGGGAGCCGGCAGCAGCCGAGCTCCCGCGGCCCACCCGGGCATCCCCGCATGTCCCCAGCACGGCACGAGCTGGCCCACGCACCTTCCCTTGAGAAACAAGAGTACCGAGCTGCTCGGGTCTCAGCCACTGTGGGCAGTGCCTGTAAAGCAACAGGCAGTTTCTGTTAGTACTTCACCCTCAGACATGCAGGGCTGCTCCGCCTGCAGCCTAAAAAATCCTCCTCCGCCCCTGAACTCCTTGTTCTGTCTGGTTTGTTTTTCCTGCTAGCAAGAGGCACTTCAAGGAATGCATCAGTTTTATCCACCAGTGTCGCCTGCACGGAGGGAACTGCCTCGTCCACTGGTAACTCTGCTTTCTCTGTTCCCAACGCCACGTCCCCCCAGCGCAGGAGAGGAGAAAAAAAATCCAGCCCCCCACTTTGGCTGCAGACCCCTGATCAAAGCCAGCCTGTGCCAGAGGACACGTGGATCCACCCCGGATCCATCCTATGCTGCAGGTTGTGACTCAGAGCCAGCAGGACCCAGGCGGCCCTGGAGACGGGGCAGCCGTTTGCTGCAGCCGAGCGAGCGGGGAGAGCGGGGTTTGGGGCCGGCAGCCAGGCAGCGGCCGCTGCTCGCGCTTCCCCGGGGACGAGCGGGTATTTATAGGCCCTGATGGAGAGAGGGGCCTTGGAAGGGCTCAGGCCTCCCAGAGAGCAAGTTCTTGGAGAAGAGGAACCGAAATAGCTGAAGCACAGGGGTGGAGGAAGGGGTGAGCGTGGGGTCAGGGTGCACGGCCGGCACCAGCCCTTCGGCTTTTTCCCTTGCCAGCCTCGCCGGCATCTCCCGCAGCACCACCGTGGTCGTTGCCTACGTGATGGCCGTCACGGAGCTGAGCTGCCAGGAGGTGCTGGAGGCCGTCCGAACCGTCCGGCCCGTTGCCAACCCCAACCCCGGCTTCAAGCAGCAGCTGGCTGAGTTCGGCGGCGGCGCCGCCCGCAAGGTGGGACCGAGCTCTGCCACCGGCTCTGCTCCGCGGCCGAGCCTGCCCGCGGCTCTCGCAGCAAGGGCCACGTTGCTTCCCCATCCCCCTTGCTGGTGGCCTTGGGCTTGCCCTTGTAAACGGGCCCCTTAGGTCGGTGCTGCCTCCTTCCCCAGGTCCGCAGGCAGCTGAAGCAGAGGTACGGGACGTCCCCCTTCAACGATGAGGAAGAAATAAAGGCCCTGCTGCCGGCGGGGAGAGGAGGCTCGTCCAGGACGGAGGGAACGCTGCAAGGACTGGTCCCAAGAGCCAGAGACATCAGGAGCACGACTCCCTTCCTGCTGCGGGTGAAGAGGACGTTCTCCTGCATCCCGGCTTGTCTGAAGTGACCCAGGCAAGGGAGAGCCGCGGGAATCACCCAGCAGCCTGGGAGAGACGAAGGAGCCGCAGCGCAGCGGGCCGGGGCAGCGCCGCTCGGGGGAGCCGTGCCCAGCCCAGCTCCTTCTTCTCTTCTGGGGCGCGAGCGTGCCACCCCTGTCCTGGCTCTCGGCTGTCGGGGAGGGAGCTGTGGGCACCGCCGGGCTCCGCAGCGCTCACTGGGCTCAGCTTTGCCCCATCAGCGTAGCGGGGATGCCCAATGAAAGGCGCAGGTCCCTGCCCCGGGTCACCGCGGGCTCCTGCTTGGGGCAGAGCGACAGAGGGGTCCCTCCTGCCGCGGGGCAGCACCCAGGCGATGACAGCAGCAGCTTTAGCACCTGGGCACCCACCGCGTTGGCCCGGAGCAGTTTTCCCCACCAGCAGCACAAGCTCCCAGAGCCGCGGCGGCCGCGGAGCGGGGACACGCAGGTGCGTTGGCAGGTAACGGCACCGCGCCGGCTCCCGGGCAAGGGTCCAGCTCCAGCCCCGCCAGCACAAGCCCTGAGCCAGCACTGTAGCTTTAGGAGCCCATCGCACCCCGTTCCCACCCATCCCAGGGCACAATCTTTGAAAGGTGGGAGCTAAGCGTTTAACCTGGCCAGACCTCACTAAAGCAGAGCCTTAAGCCATTTTGCTTAAAGACTTTCTACGTCCCCCCATAATAAACTCCGACTCTCTTTGGTCTGACTCCCCGTGATGGCCGGACGGGAAGGGGGGTGCTGCAGAGGAGGGTCCCTGGTGGGGGGGGAGGCCTGGAGGTGGCTGCTGGCCACTCTCTGAGGCCCAGAGAGGAGGGCATGGGGACACCGGCACACCTGGGCAGGGGACAGCCCTGCGGGAAGGTCACAAGAGAGGCCAGAAACCCACGTGCCGTGGTGGGGCTCTGTGGGGCCAGGCTGTGCCCCGGGAGAGGTCAGACACTCACCTGGAGCCTGTTCCACTGCAGCCTCCACTCACTGGGACCTGCTGGGATCACTGGGGGCCTGGCACCAGCTGAGCCTCACAAGCCCCAGCTCCCCCCTAGACCTGCCCTATTTACACCTTTCCCTGGGGCAGAGTCCCAGGTGGGGAAGATGCTGGGAATGCTCAGCTGGGCCATCAGCACCTCCCCTGCTGGGAGCCGGGGCGTGTTTCTGGGGTTCCCCTCATCCCTGCCACCCTCTCCCATGTGGGACGGTGTCCCCCAGGAGCCTGCAGGGCCAGGTGGCTGCAGGGTCTCCAGCTCTGCGTGTGATGGGGGACCAGGCATCGGGTCTCAGGGTGAAGGAACTTCCCGGGAAGCAGGGACTGCCTCTGCGCTGGCTACTTCCAGGGGACATCAGCACGGCACAGGGCACGTCCCTCAGGAATTAATAATTATTAATATTTACCCCTGCGTGGCGGCTGTGGCTGAAGGTGAGCAGCCAGCTGGGTGTCCTGAGGGCCCCTTGGTGCCTGCGCAGGGTCCCGTGGGTCCTGCAAGAGGGGCTGGTTGCTGGGACAGCTTTAAACCCACCACCCCGCGCTGGCGTGCCCTGCCATGCTCCACCTCCTGGCACCCTGAATTCTTTTCCCTGAGGGTAATTTAGGTGGGTGCTGCAGCTCCCGGGAGCCCGGGGGTTCCTGTGTCAGCAGCCCTGTGGCAGGACCTGCACACCTGCCCCTGTTTCACCTCCGCAGAGCTTCAGGGCCGTGGTCCCTCCCTGCTGCCAGCTCCTGCCTGCTGGAGCTGCCTTGGGGTGACCCAGGCTGGGACCCCGACTCCCACCTTGCTGGGTAGACGCTGAGCCCACGGTGTAACCAGGGGAGCATCATCCTCTGTCACGTCACTCCTACACCCTCCACCCTGGGGTCCCCCTCTCCTCCCAGCTCCTACCAGGCTGCTCCCTGCTCCCTCACCTCTCCAGCACCCTTAGGCCCCCCAGCACCCAGCAGGGTGCTGTCCCCACGTCCCAGGACCACGCACCCTGGACGTGCACGGCTGTGCCAAGGCATTTACACCCAGAGTTTCCCTGTTCACACTGTAAACCCACGGTGAGACCATACCCAGAGAACGGCACCCCCAGCCCAGCTCCACCGCGCACCAAACTCTATTTATTTTGGCAGATCTGGTTTGCATAACTGGAAAAACCCAGGCAAGGGCAGGGTTAGCTGCGAGTTAATGTTTGACTCCCTTTGAAGCTCATTTCGGCATGAAATGTTTAAGGGTTAAGCAGCTTCACCTTCCCTGCACAGGGAGCAGCACAGCGGGGAACCAGTCCCTGAGCATCTTCGCCGATGCCGGGGTAATTAGATCCCGCGGGTCCCACGCGTCACCGCGCTGTCACACCAGATGAAATCCTCGGCTCGTAAAGGCTTATCCCGTCGGGCTGGGGCTGGCTAACGAGCTGGCGGCTACCATTACCTCCCAGCCTGGGCTGTGTCTGTGCAAGCCGCGGAGAGAGGCTGTGCAGTGACCCCTTGCCATTGCTCCGCTTCCCAGGGCAGAGCGGGCAGATGGAGATTCTCTGTCGGTCAGCCCCGGGCCCTTTTCTCAGAACACAGCTCCCAGCTTGCCCAGTCGAGGGGTGCGGGGGGTGGGCTCAGGGCGCTGCCCCAGCAGAGGCACAGCCGGTTGGAAATCCCCTCCTCGCTGGCGCGGTGCAGAGAGCAGAGCGGTTCCTGCGCCGGCCCGAGCGTGGCATGGGGCCAGCCCGGCCACGGCAGCCCCGGGCGGGATGGCCACAGGCTGCCAGGGTGGGGGTGAGCGTGGCCCAGGCCTGGCCGGGTTGGGGGGTTCTCTGAAGCAGGAGTCCCCCAGCTCCCAGCGCTCGGAGCCGCAGGGCTGGCATCACCACCTCCTCCTCCTCCTCCTCCTTGCGGGCAGGTCAGCCATGGCCCCTCGCCCTGAGCAGCCCGGGCAGGGCAAGCGGCTTTGCTCAGAGCCAAAGTGGCCACCAAGAGGCTCCTTAAGGAGAGCGAACCCCTGCCAGCGTGGCTAGCTCGTACCCAACTGCGTGGCCCCGTGTGTCCCCTGCGCCACGTGGCCGTGTCCCCGTCCCCACGTCCTTCGGGAAAGCCCGGGGCTGGGCGCTGCGCCGGGGCTGATTCATTTCGAGGCTTTGCAGCCCCCTGGCTCTGGGCAGCCTCGTCCCCCCGCCCCGCCAGAGGTGACTTTCTGTGACTCAGAGCTGGAAAGGAAACGCAGCGGGCTGCGAGAGGAGACCCGGCGGGCTGCGGGCCGGGCGGAGCAGGCGGGTTTCCCCGCGCAGCGACATGTGGAGCCGACACCGGTGTCACCCCAGGGTGGCCCAGAGGGCAATGCCACCCAGGCCGTGCCCTGGTGCTGGGGTGGGTGCGGGTCCCAGCGCCGGCCTTGCTCCAGCACAGCCCTTCGCAAGGGCAACGGGGTGATGCTCGGCACCAGGCAGCTCCATCCCTGCCCTGCGCGGGGTGAAACCCCCCTCCCCACACAAGGGCGGCTGAGCCGGGCTCCTCGCTGGGAGGGCAGCGGGACAGACCCTCCCGGTAGCCACGGCATCGCGGAAGGATGCTCAGGGGGCAGCGGGGAGCCGGTGCTGGGGCCCAGCCCTCTCCTGGCACTGACTCTGTCTCCCCGCTCCCCGCGGAGCAGCGCAGGCCCGGGAAGCCGCTTCCCGAGGCGTGGGAAGGCCGGTGCCCAGAAGCACCGTGACACCGGCACTGGCTCCTGCCGGGAACCCCGGGGCTGGCTGGGACCCGGCGCGGGATGAGTCAGGCCCCGACGCGGCCCCTGGCAGCCCTTGGCACAGCTCATCTCGGCCCGGCCCGCTCGGTTCCCGTTCGACTCAGCGCCCGCAGCCCCTCCAGGCAGATGCGAGCTGTAGAGCGGAGGAGAGAGTCGAGAGATGAGGCAACGTCACTGCCCACACCAGCCTGGAAACCCCCGCGCCTGGTCCCACAGCTCCCCACGCCCGTGGGGCTGAGATGTGGGTCTCACGGGAGGACGCGGCCCCCGTGTCCTGGTCCCTAAAGCAGGAGAAGAGGGGAGTGGGGTCCCTTGTGCCCTGCAGGGAGCGTGTGGGAGTCCTGAAAGTCCGAGAGGAGGCGCCCGGGAGGGGTGCAGGGGGGGCCCCTCTGCTTTCTGGTGCCCTGTCCCTTCTCCCGGGGGTGCAACGGGCCTGTCCCCCCTCTCAGACGCTGCTCTGTCCCCTCTCCCGTGGGCTGCCCTGTCCCCTCCCTTCCCCACTGAGCTGTCG